TAATTTTGAATTGAAGCCTGTTTTGCTGAACTGAACGGAGCCCCTTCTGCTGAACTCAAAGCAGGGTGCAGCTGGGGCCAGGATGGAGTAGTCCTCACAGATGCCTGAGAGGGAAAGCAGAGCAGGGACCGTGACAACACAGGTGTCCACAGAGGCCAGGAAGGTGGTGCGCGCGCACCTGGGAAGCGACGGGTGGGGCTCATGGCGTCTCAGGATTGCCTGTGGCGGTGCTGCTGCTTCATATTCTCGGTAGGTGTAGCCTCTGCTCTGTTCGATTACCTCTAACTGGAGGAAGGGACACCCAGAAGCCATGGCAGAAGCTCATGGGGGTGCGGGAGATCAGCGCTGTCACCGTACTGTGATGGGTAACAGCCAGGAGGGGCTCCGCAAGCAAAGGACATGAGCCTGCGTCCTGGGCACCTGCTGGGGTGGGGGCAGGCAGTGCTGCGCCCCAGTGAGATGCGGCTCATCACTCGCTACATTTTGACTCCTCAGCCTTCTGGTCTCTGTCTCAGGACTTTACTTCTTTGAGATAGTCCCTTCCTTTCTTCTTCCTCCTCTGAAAGACGCTGACCTCCCCTCTCAGCCTGGATGTGTGGCCTGGGAATCCCGTACTTCCCCTAGAGGAGAGGTCACTGAGGACCACACAGCCTGGGAGCTGCCCCAGCCTCTGCCCAGGTCACACTGGCCTGGATGTTGGTGCCACAGGGGGCCACGGCTGCTGTGACCCCATCCCTGCCACCCCACTGCACAGTTCAGTGGGACCCTGACTGAGGCTGAGCCCTGAGCTGCCCATGGCTCCCTCTGAGGCATGGACAGAAGGGCCAAGACAGCCCTAGCTCCTAGGGAACCCCAGATGCTGGGCTCCCTAGGAGGCAGCCATCAGAGTCCCACTCTCTCACAGAATGGGACCAGGGAGCAGCATACACACAGGCACTGGAGAAGAGAGGCAGAGAGGAAGCTGCCCTCCTTACCTGCCCTGTCAGCCTGCCTGCCCTGATGGGAGTGATGCCCAAGCCACCAGCCCAGTGTCACACAGCCCTGCTCTGCAGACGAGGCCGGTGGGCTGTGAGCTCCCACAGGCAGACACCAGCACTGTACCTGTGCTGGGGCGCCTCTAGAGGGACCTGTGGGTCCCACTCTGTGAGAGGAAGGAGTGACTCATGAGGTGTGGCAGGGCCAATCACGGGAATCCTGCAGGAGAAAAACCAGAGCTACCTGCAAGGGCCACTGTGCCAAGCACTGGGAGGCTGAGGCAAGAGGGTCACTGGGTGTTCAAGGCCAGCTTGGAAGCTATAGTGAGGCCAACCAGTGCCAAACTGACCACTGTTGATGATCCCACGGACACAATATCAACCAAGTGACAAAATTAAAGAAGGGAAGACACATATATAGGTGGTCGCCAGGAGTTGTGGGTGGCTGGAGGCAAGTAGACACTGTAAAAAGGCTGAAGGAGGGTCATTCCGTGATAAAAACCTGCATGCATGCAGGGGCACAGACACACACTGCACATACACTGCACACCACACTAGACACACATTGCATACACACGCTGCACATACACAATGCAGACACACACCAGGCAGTTCTAGACAACTTAAGTTGCACCCAAGGCAGTGACAAATCTGTTTCTTTTTTTTTCTTCCTTTTTTCCTCCCGTGTGGATTGAACCCAGCTACATCCCAGCCCTTCTGTTTCGGAACAGGGTCTCCCAGTCCCCCAGTCCCCCAGAACTGGGCTCAGAGTGTGGGGCTCATAGGCCTTGCCTGCCTCCATGCTGCGCTGAGGTCCAGTTCATGCTGATTCCTTTCCAGGCTCCATGGTGGATGACACTGGCCCCTCAGAGGTGGGGTGCTGCCCGCGTCAGCTTTGGAGACTTTGGCAAGGCTTTTCCTGTATGTCAGCCACGCTGCTAGAAACAGCAATCTGGCTTAACAAGACAATGAAATATCTCAACTATTAATTCTTGTTGAGAAGCAAATGGAAAGCAAATGCACACCTTCAGAGCATTCTGGGTCCAGATCGCCTGGGAGTTTGTCCGCTGGCTCCATCCCCGAACAGACCGAGTTGGAATCTGTCCCTTACAATCCCTGGGTGATGTGAATTCGTATTCACTGGAGAAGCACTTGTCTTTGCCCTTAACTAAATTACTATGCTCAGATTTTTTTCTCATATACTCTTCAAATGAAGTTATAAGGAGCATGATTGAACAGAACTGTCCCGAAATCATATTTCTTAAGCCCTTGTATGACATTTCCAAAACATGCCCTGGTAATATTTACTATCACGTATGTGAGAACGGTTTCATCAGAGATCGTGGCAGCTGCTGATGGAGCCGGGGAGCCGCGTGTAGGGCTTGGCCCTCTGCTCACCTCGCGGCTGCCCATGCATCGCCAGTGCCTCTGGGTGCCAAGGGCAAGCTGCGGGTGTAGGAATTTGGGTGTCTGGGGTTTTCCATTGAGTCCGGGCTCCTGAGGTCTGTGCTTCTCTGTCAGGAAGTGAGAAATGGGCCAGCTCATGCTTACCCCATCTCCAGTGTCCATGGAGGCACTGTGAGGTCACCCTGGGGAGTGGGCTCTGGGGTGAAGGGGCACAGCCACTTTGTGGGTCCATCTCACACTTACCTCTTCACCTGAGCAGTGCACTCTGCTCTCTGAAGAGGATTGAAGGTGATGTCCATGGAGGCCTCCTGGACTCACTCATGTGGGCTGGGACTGTGGGGGCACAAGCAGGCCTCCCACGCACAAGGATGAGGGAACATTTCATACCCAGCCCCGTGTTAGCTAGGCAAACCCTGCACCGTGTGAGCCTATCTTCATGGTTACAGCCAGACACCCTAACCCAAGGCCCGTCCTTCATAAAGGGCCAGGGGCATGGGCACGGCACCAGCACCATGGGGCTCTGCTGTGGATGACACAGCAGATGGCACTGAGTGGCGGGCACAGCATGTGGTGAGAAGGTGCCGGGGCTGGGGCCCAGCAAGGACCACACTCATCATCCCCTTTGGAGGTGCAACTCTGGCACCTTGCTGCCTCTCAAGGCCCAGCTTGGTGGCCTTGACCCCTTTGCCATCAGGAACACTGGGCACCGGTTGCCCCACACCTGGGTGTCACACAGGGCACTAAAGCACAGATCCTAGAGCTGTGCAGCCTGTGTCCACACCAGCTCTCCCCCTGACTGTGTGTGGCCGTGTACCTCACTGACTGCTGAGAGCCTGGGCACCTTCAGGTCATTGTAGATTCCAGGCTCACACCTCTGCCTCCAAATCCTTGCACTCTAGTAACCAGGAGCCTCCGCTGTGGAGTTAGGGACAAACCTGGCCTGAAGCAGGGTGAGACTCCAGACCATTTTCACCTCATTTACTGTTCCCTTTCCCTGAGGGATGTTGGCTGCAGGTGGGTGGCCAGCACTGGTGCGGTCATGAGCAAGGGTCGACTGAGTAACAGGCAGTGCCGAATGGGGGTCAGGTACAGAAAGGTTTCAGGATGCCTTGTATGTGGTGAGACCCGAAAACAGGACAAGTGTTTTATTTAAAGGACACACGGCGATGAACCCCCTCGGTGACCCTCCCCTTACTCGGAACACACTTGCCCTGGTTGCTGCCACCTTCCGAAGCAGCCTGTAAGGTTTCTTCCTGCAGGGCTGCAGCCATTCCACCTTACTGCCCAAATCCAGCTGAGCAGCTCATGGTCACCGGGACTCTGGGGAGTCAGGAGCTCAGACCCTGGAAGGAAGTGGGTGACGACACACTGTATTATTTCTGGGGGACAGAAATCACCACAGACACTTTGAACGGACTCAGGCCCCAGGGGTGACGGAGAAAGGAGCTGAGAAGAGCTGCCTGGAGCCCTGTTGAGCATTGTGAGCGTGAGGGGTGTGTGTGTGTGTGTGTGTGTGTGTGTGTGTGTGTGAGACGCGGGGAGTACCCTAAGAGGCAGCTGGCATGGCGGCCTTGGCTAGGATGCTCTTGGTTTTTATTTTCATATCCACTGTGCTCTTTGATCACACCTCATGGGGCTGAGAGCCGGGACCATATGCAGATGGAACAAGGTCCCAGCCAGCTCACTCATGCAGGGCTCAGGGAACCAAGGGCCTGGTGTTGGGCAGGGGTGGGAGCTTGGCCCTGTTGCCCCTGCCCTCGGCTGAGGCTGCCTTGGTTTGCAAGGGGAGGCCAATTTGTATTTTCCAGTGAAGCCAGGACAGAACTCGGGGTAAATGCTCTGGTACAGAGTCCACACCAGCCAAGCTTGAAGGAACCCGCATGGGGGGCGTATGTGCATCTGTGCATAACGCGTGAGTGCCCCCCAAGAGGAAGCCAGGAAGTGCTTTCTTGAAAAGAGACTCAAGAGGGTGGCTCAGAGCTGCCCCAGGGCCAGTTTTGCCCTCTGCCCCCTGATGGACATCCACATGCTGCAGGGGCTGCTGTTAAAGTGTGCAGCTCGACATGGACACAGAAAGTGTGCTCACATCTGATAGTCTTGCCATGTCCCTGTCACCCGCATATATTCGTTATTTGCACTCTTAGCCCAGCTCCAGGAGACTTAGATCTATTTTCTGCTTCCAGCTCTGCCATAGACATGTAACCGAGGTGGAACCTCATGGCCTCCTTCATTGAGGATGCCCCAACCAGGGTGGGGCCCAGCACTTTCCACGGAGCGACACCGCCAGCCCTTTATTTTTGAGATAGGGTACCCCTGAGTTGCCCAGGCTGGCCCTGAACTTGTGATGCTTCTGCCTCAGCTTTTAGGAGTAGCTGACTGTTTTGCTTGTGCACTGGAGTCGTCATCCACATGTTGCTGGCAGCTGCGGTCTGTCCTTGTTTGCTCCCGGGCACCTCCTTGGCATGGCTGTTGCATGTTTGGTTTACCTACTTAACCAGTGGATGGGTTGTTTAACTTTGGCTACTCCAGAAACTCGGCCATGGATGTTTGCATACAAGTGTGGTACAGACACATTTTTGTTTCCTGGGTTTACAGCTAGGAATGAAGTTGTCAGTCATATAGAAAAGCGTATCTAATTTTTTTTATTTTAAAGAGAATAACACCAAGCAAAATAAAACAGAATAAAGCCAATCAAAAAAAAAAAAAAAACAGTGGAAGTGATACAGGACTTCAAAACAATAGGCAATCAACAATAGTTACCATAACGCTTCCTCTTGTCTTCACAATACCTGCCCACACCTTCAGACACAGTCAAATCAAACAAAAAAGAACAGAAGAGACCCAATAAAAACAAAACAATGAAACAAAGGACTTCAAAACGAGGCAGCAGTAAATTTACAATGACTACCATAATGTATCTTGTTATTTTTGAAATAGCTGTCCAAGGCATTGGATACAATAAAATCAAACAAAACAGAATAGAACCCAACCCATCAAAACAATGAAAATGATACAGGACTTCAAATCAAGATAATAGGGAGTTAACAGTGGCTACCACCTTCAGAAAGAGACTCCTCACAGATGTTACATTTCGTACTGTTATCCTCTGCATAGATCACAGATGGTTAGACCACTGGCTTTAGGCCTGCGAAGTCGGGGAAACCCTAAACACTACAAGAATTACACTCTATTTCACCCCAACAGCCATCATTGCAGCCTGTGCTTCTCTGGATAAGCTGGCAGCATATGGTGGGGTTCGGGGGGAGGTGGCTCTTCTTGTTTCCCACCCAGCTGGTGTGCTGGGAGGGGCTGGCATTGGATTTGCCCCCAGGAATCTGTGTGTGGTGCTGACTTACAGGGAGGGCTTATTTCTTGTTGACTTCTTGTTCTCTTCCCCCACTGTCCAAGTGTGTTTAATTTTTAAAGAAACCATCATATGGCCTTTCAGAGCAATTGTATCATTTTCCAGGCAGACCAGCAATGCATGAAAGCTCAAATTTTTTATACCCTTGTCATCTATTTCAGGAATATAGGTATCTCTCTAATGCTGTTTTTTTTTTCTGTACTATTTGTACAATTTGAGCCCAGAGCCTTTGCACTGAGCTGTACGTCCAACCCTTTTAAAACTTTTTAAATCTTAAAACAGGATCTCATTAAGTTAGTACATTGCCCAGGCTAGGCTCGAACTTGTGGGCCTTCTGTTTTAGCCTCCCAGAGTTCACTGAGCTTTTAATGTGCAATTCTCTAACCCTAATAATGTCAAGCACCTTTCATGTGCTCATCAGCTGATCACACATCCCTGTGTGTGAAGAGCTGCCTGCTCTTGCTCATCTCAGCAGTGAGTGATGAATCCTCTGCATGATGTGGACAGAAGCTCAGGAGTTTCTCAGTGGTTTATCTGGAATAGTAAAAATGTCCACTTGCTGACCCAGACCGACTTCTGTTTCTGTGAGCTGAGCCTGCAGGTGGGACCAGTGTCCTGCCATGTCTCTCCACAGTTTCACAGTCCTCATAGACTCACAGTCCTCACAGGGATGCTGGAGGGATGAGGATGTGTCCTGGGCAGCATAGAAGGGTGGGCTGTGTTCCTGTCACCTGGTAACTAGTTGGGCACCATGGGAGGGGAATCAACACACTGTCACACACCACCATCATCCCCGGGAACTTGTCCCATCCACAGTGGGAGTGATGCCAGGGTCTTTGTCCACTGGCATACACTGTTATGTGTGGTGTGGGATAAGGACCTAAGGGCCTCCTTTCTTCTTTCCTTTTTCTTTATGAGATATATCAAAACCAGTGATCTTCCTGACTCAGCCTCCTGAGCAGCTGGGACCGCAGGTGTGTGCTCCCTCTTCTAGATAAGTTTGTTTGGAATTTTCATTATTTGCCTTTTCCAGAACCAGTTGTTGAAAAGAATATTCTACTACCCCTACTGCCTTGGCACCTTTGCTAGAATCAGATCACAGACAGTAGGATTCACCTCTACAGTAGGATTCACTCTACAATAGGATTCATCTCTACAGTAGGATTTACCTCTACAGTAGGATTCACTCTACAATAGGATTCATCTCTACAGTAGGATTCACCTCTACAGTAGGATTCACTCTACAATAGGATTCATCTCTACAGTAGGATTCACTCTACAATAGGATTCATCTCTACAGTAGGATTTACCTCTACAGTAGGATTCACTCTACAATAGGATTCATCTTACAGTACGATTTACCTCTACAGTACGATTCACCTCTACAGTAAGATTTACTCCTGCATTTCTTACTGTGTTCCCCAATCTATATGCTCATTCTTACTACATTTCTAACTGCTGCAATTTTGTGTTTTTTGTTGTATATTGATTCCATACAGTGTGATCTTGCTAAATTTGTGAGTTCTAGTGTGTGTGGGTTTGTGTGTTATCTTTTTGAGACAGGGTCTCTCTATGCAGTTCAGGCTGCAAAGTGAGCTTGAGCTCACTTTGTAGCCCAGGCTGTTTTTGAACTCTCTCTTTTTTAAAAATTTTATTTAAGGAGAATAAAACAGCAGAGAAAGGGTACAAGTTATACAGATTTACAGAAAAAAAAAACAGTAGGAAATCACTAGTAGTAGGATTACATATTGTCATCTTAGAAATAATTGTTCAAGTTGCAAAACTAAAGCTTGGAAAGTGGACATTCCAACAGTGAGACTGCAAACAGTTCCGTTCAGTGATCCAACAAAACTCAGTGATATCGTTATCTATCTTATACACTTAAATATACATGCAGTTATATCGTTTAGAGCACTTTCTTTTCCTCTCTTTTGTACAATGACAATTACACATTTTGGGCTTTGTTGCTCCCACAGTTCTTATTACTTTTTTGGAAGGGAGTAGAACCAAATGTGACATAACAGAACAGAGTCAGTCAAATCAAAAGTGTGGACATAATAGATAATGTAAAAGCATAATACAAGGTGATCAACAATGGTTACCATAATGCCTCCTGCTATCTCTAATAGAATTGCCTATATCATCAGTTATAATAAAATTGAACAAAACAGTAAAGAACAAAACCAACAAAACCAAAACATTGGAGACATTATAGGTCTTCAAAAGTAGATAATAGTCAACGAGAATGGGCATCATAATGAATCTCACTATCTTCGCAGCTGTTGCCTAAACTTTCGAACCTGGTACTATCAAGCAAAACAGAATAGAGGGACATCAGTCAAAAACAAGATGGTAAGAGTAATACAGGGCTTTAAATCAAGATAATGGAAAGTCAAAGTGGGTTACTATAATATATCCTGCTATTTTTTATTTATTTTTCCCTTAATTAAAAGGATAAAAATAAAAAAGTAAATAATGAAGTGGAGATTGAGATAAAAGAGGGCATAACAGCAAAACAGCGTAGATCAAAACATAACCATTTAAGTAGAATAGTGTTTCACCACAAGATAATCCTGACATAAAAGTAGTTACCATATTGTCTCTTTCCTTGAAATCTTTGAGTGTAACTTCGTATACTGTAGCATCAAATATATCAAAACAATGTAAAACCATTTAAGAGAATGACAGCATTACAGGGTATTTAGAATCAACTAACAGAAAATGAACAATGGTTTCTGTATAATTTCCTTGTCTTTAAAAGTTTTTGCTTATACTATCATACATAATAAAATCCAATAAGATACAACCTGTTTAGACCAATGGACACAGAAGAACAAAAGCTTGATGAGACTTCAAAACAAGATGATACTAAATCAGTATTACCTATTAAGATGTCATTTTCTCCAAAATAGCTTTTCCCTATCATCCAATCTTCTCTGCCTCATTTCTGTTGAGCTCTTTTTCTGTCATTAGTTGTCAGTTTGTCTTCTTCATTTTGTTTTCTGCTCCATTCACTGTGGTCTTGGCCACTATTTCTGGATTCTTTGTATTTTTCTTTTTTAGAATATCCTGCAGTATTCTCTGTAGAGTTGAATTGGTGGTTGCATATTCCCCTAGTTCCTCTTTATCCTGGAAGCACCTTGTTTTTCCATCAATTTCCAGGGATAGTTGTGCAGGATATATCAATCTTGGCTGGAGATTATTATCTTTCAAAGCTTATTTCCCCCCACGCTCTTCATGATTTGATGGTTTGTGCAGAGAAATCTGCTGTAATTCTGATGGGTGTTCCCTTGTAAGTGATCTGTTTCTTGTCTCTGACAGCTTTTAATATTCTGTTCTTGTATTGAATTTCTGGAATTTTTATTATTATATGCCTGGGTGTTGCTCTGTTTGGGTTGTAGGTGGCTGGGGTCCTGTATGCTTCATACAACTGAGTATCTTTACCTTTTGCTAAATTAGGAAAATTCTCCTGGATTATTTCTGTGAGTAGCTTTTGTAGTTCATTTGTTTGTGTCCCTACTTCTTCTTTTATGTTCTTAATTCTTAAGTTATGGATCCTCTTATCATCTTCTAGTCTTTGTATTATTGCTGTTTGTTTCTTTGTTACTTTTAAAAAGTTTTTCATTTCATTCTCCCATATTACAAATCTGCCCTCCAGTTCAAATAGTCTGTCCTTAGTTTCTTTCAAGCTGTTATGCCAGTTTTCGATAGAGTTTTTAGTTTCCTGGTAGTCTCTTTGAACCTGCTTCACGTATTCTATGTTTTCTCTATTGTCTCCATCAAACAATTCTCCCCTCTTTTTCTGTTCTTCCATTCCACCATCTGTTTTTTTCTTGGCTGGTGCTTAGCATTTCTCTAACTATTCTGCTTATTTCTAGCTTCAGGTCATTAATAACTTCATTCCTGAACTCATCTATGAGGCTCTCTAGATAGTGCTTTATGTCTATTGGTGCGGTGCCCGCTATTGCCTGTTTCTCAGGATTGGGGGCCAAAGGCCCTTTCTTGTTGCTCCCTCTTCCCATATTCTTTGTTCCTTATATATGCAAGCGTATATAGGAGGCCCAGCTTCCCTCCCTGTCAGCCACAGCCTGATCGAATTGCGCCGGCTAGGTGTTCCCGCCCACCGCAGCACACCAGGAAGTTGCAGACCAGGCAGCCTACGCGGGGCCCGCCCCTCCAGGCCACCCTCGGGCTCTGGGATCTGGGTTGTGCTAGCCTACTGGGTCTCAGCCAGCAGCGTCACGTAGGCTAGGCACTTCTCACCAATCCCGCTTGAGAGGGGGATACGTGGCTGAAGTTGCTGCAGCGCCCCGCTCCCGCAAGTCTGTCCAGTCCCAGAATGTCCTCCGCTGGAGTCTCCTAAACTGTGGAAGAGTGTCAGTATCTCTCACTCACCTCACCACAAGTCAATGCACAGCTCCCTGCCCGTCCTGTTTCCAACTCCATTCGCCGATTCCCATTCTCAGAGCTTCCGCGCGTCTCTCTCCCTGCCGAGCCGATGTAGACGCAGCCGCCGTGCGGCAGGAAACTCAAATCGTGTCTTCCAATGGCGCGGGCTCCAGCTTCCACACTGAGGCTTTTCTGTTCCTGTTATAGCACCAGGATTGCATTCCAAGTTGGTTTCTCTCAGCCCAGTTCGTTCTTAGGTCAGCAGGGCATATCTCCACTTGCTTATGATTCCTTACTCTGCACCATTCCTGAATTCTAAGCTGAGTCTTTCAGACAGCCTCCATAGCTGCTGCTATCTGTCTGCCATGTTCTCCTGGAAGTCCTGTTCTTGATCTCTCAGTGATCCTCTTGCCTCAGCCTCCCAAGTGCTGGGTTACAGGTGTGCACCACCATGCTGGGCTAGTTCTAGTGTTTTCTTCTTTTATTCCACACAATTTTCTATGTCCAATGTAGCCTTCTTGACTTCTAATCTGTGTGCCTTTAATTTTTCCTGCCTTCTGCCTCTGGCCAGGCTCTTTACTGCAAACTTGAGTAGATGTGGAAGAGCCCCATCCCTTTCAGAATTAAAAACAGAGCTCTGAGAACTTTGGGCCCTGCTCTTGGGGAAGGTTGTGTAGCCGCAGGAAGGGATGTGCAGGGCTGGGGAGGCTGAGGCTATGTGGCCCCACGGGTGCTGTGGTCATCATGCTGCCTGGTATGTGCCTGTCCTCAGGAGAGGCTCTTGGCCAGCCGCTGGCATCACAGAGTAGCACTGGTGCTGGGCATGCAGCCTGGAGGACAAGGCTGGGATGGGGTCCTTTCCACATGGGTGTCCCCAACACCAGACAGTATTACTTGTGCTTGCATTGTGGGAATGCTGGGGTGCAGGACAGACACAGGAGGCCCTGAAGCTCTCAGCACAGGGTGGGCTGCATGACTTTGAGGTTCTGCTGTCTAGGTAGTGATGAGCATTCCAAGGGGGCCACTCCAGAGAGTACACCCAGCTGAGGAAAGGCCGGTGCAGAAACAGACCTGCTCAGAGCTCTTGGTGGCTCCTTCCTCCTGCTGGGAGGTGATTGCCCCAGGGCCCAACTCCAGGAGCATGCCCTGTGCCTTACGGTGACATTCTGCATACCCAGCCCTCGTCCTAGGTCCACAGAGCTGCCTTCTGCAGTGCCTCTGAGTGGAACAAACAGGGGTCCTTTGTCCTGGCTATCTGTGCTGCTGGGGACTTGAGTCTGAGCCAGGAAGCTTGGGGATGTCTCTGATCTCTCTGAGTGATGAAATGATTCAAGGGAAATTCCTCTCTTTATTTGGGAGACAGTGCATTAATGACAAGTAACAAAGATGCCATGAGCCTCTCACCTTCCAGCAGCCACATCCACGGAAAGGGCTATCCAGCCGGTCTGAGCTGAGGCCAAGTCTGCACCTGCACACAGAGGGGCTCAGGATGAGCCAAGGCTGGGGTCAGGACCGTCCTGCGCTGGGGCCTCCTGTCCAGTCTGTGAGCGCCTCGAGCTGACTGCAGCACTTCCCTGCAGCAGATAGCTATCAAAGTCGCAGATCCTGTCCTGCGTGATGGAATCTGGGGACAGAGAAAGGCAGGTTGGCATGGTGACAGCCAGCCATAGCTAGAGCATGGGGTTGCAGCCTGTTCAGGTGCACACACGCTTGCATTTCACTGCACTTTGCTGTTGGGAGGTCCCCCTGTGTGATGGCACTCATAGCTGTCTGTGACAAAATCAATTATCCAGTCCTCAGCCGTGTGGGCCACAGCCTGGGCTTGCTGGCCACACGTCCTGTCAGCTCACTGATGGGGGCACACACAGTCAGCTGCCTGCTGGGCAGGCTGGGGTTCCCCATCTGTGACCTCTAACACCCGGATGCTAACCTCCGCCCCTGCCGGTGCTCCCTGGTACAAGTGAGCAAGCACATAAGCATATTCAGATGGTTTTTACCACGGTGAGACCTAGTGCCTGCTTCTCTGCGAGTGGGGTACTTTATGTGCAATACAAAGTTAGGCACAGTTCCTGGGTTCAGTTTGCTGTGGTCTAGCTCAGGAGGTTAGGCTGATGAGTTCTGAAGCCCTGTCACTCACAATTCAATTTTCTTGTGGGGCTCAGGCTGTGTGGCCAGCACAGGTATGTGACACCTGCTGCAGCCTGGGCCCCCTTGGGGGTGGCGATGCTGAGCTCTGGGCCTGCCTGGAAATGGAGGAGGGCTCGGCTCTCTGTGGCCGACTGGAGCCGAGCTGATCACACTGCTGCCCAGGTAAACAGTTTAGGATCACACAACCCAGAATGGTACTGTGGTACCTGAAGGACCTGACGAGGTTGTGTGGATGAAGAAAATACAAATGAGTTTGTTCTGGAAATACAGAAAAAAACGGGAGGAAAATGGCTCACTATAGCTGTGGCTTAAGAAACAATATCAGAGTTGAACCGTTTCCTTCCCAATACAAATCTGCCTCCACTCAGGAGTCTAAGCTGGTGAAGGGTTCTCAGATTTTAGAAAGTGATGCTAACACATGTGTGAAATATGTGTGTAATACACATGGACACAATTACCTCATAATTAGTAATACCATAGATGAAGTCATTATAGCAATTATTGTTAGTCCTAGCATACCAGTGAAGTCTCTCCATGATTCTGAGGTGGGTACTATGATTTACATTTTAATATTAGCCTTTTGTGATACATGCTGTATGTTTTCTTTCAGTTTGTCCTTTCCTTTTTCTTGAGCAAACTTCTGTAAGGAAGAAGTTTTCTCTTTTCTATGCACTCAAATTATATGGATATTTTATTTTATTGAACCTAGGTTTCATGCCAGAGAGAGAGACCTGTTTCCTACACCCAGCTTGTAAAGTAATTCAGCATTGTTTTCTTCAGGTGGTAAATTCTGTGCATTCAACTTCCACATTTAGATTTCTGACCAGATAACATTCTCAAAAGAAAAAAATGCAGAAAAAAATCCTCTAAGTCGAAAATTCAGTGTAATCAAAAATTTCAGATTTTAAATAAAGAAAATGAACACATTTATTCTAGAATTTATATGAAAGCAAAAACACCAAGGAGGGTAATTTCAAAAAGGAGGAATGAGAAAGAACCTGGCAGCCCAGATGTCAAAACAGCCACTGCACTGCAAGGAAAGATACCTCGCTTACAGGAGTAAAACTGGATGTGACTTCCAGAGCAGACAGAGGGACAAGGAGAGGAGGCCAGATACATGCCCCCGCCACCTGGGAATTCATGATGATTCAGAGGGGGCACTATAAATGAGAGGGATGCAGATGACATGGTGTTCTCATCACATCAGCTGACAAATAAACGGCAGCACATTAGTGCTGTAAACATAATAAATGACATAGGACACACAGGAGACAGCTTCCAAACCCAGGGGTGAGAAAGGCCCTCAGCAAAAGCATCACACTGCCCCAGCACAGAGGAACAGAGTAGCTGATTTTATGACCAACAGTAGACACTGCTGCGGAGCGCAGTGAGAAAGTTCCCTGAGAAACAGGCAAGGGGTCAGCAAGGCGAACATCAAGTGGAAGTCGCCTACCTAAGACTTTCATACTCATCAGTGACTCAGTAATCAGGAGCTGCAAGTAGGACAAAAAGGTCTGTTTGCTTTAGCTCGTGGGCTTGGCCCTGAAAACATGGGTGATGTCCAGCCCCGGTGAGGATGTGAGGAAAGGCATTCATGTGCAGTTATTACCAGGGCAAACTGTGCAGCTGTGTGCATCGTAGTTTATAGCACATTCCCCGGGCACAGGGATTCCACGCCTGGGCGTCTACCACACAGAAACACTCTCTTACCTGGGCTGGGCTAGCACAGAAATGACGAACCTTTCCGGGGTGGGAGCCCAGACTGCAGCCCCAAACCCATTTATTTACTGCAAAGTGCAACAATGCAATTAGCCTGAACACTCAGGGTTTGGTTTTAAAAACAACTCACACAGGAATGTATTTTGTCTCCTTAAAAGGAAAAGCAACAGTGTGCTATAGGTTTGCCACCCTTGGGCTAGAGTACCTCCAGGTCAGATCATCTCCAAAAACTAAGCGTTTCAATGAAAATACACATGCGTGCACACATGGAGTGTCAAAGTTTCAAACAGCAGAAAGTGTGGAAATACCTCACATGGCCCACATTAGGGGTGCATGAACCTATCCCAGCAAGGCCGAGGGTTAAAAGGATGGCAGAAGTTGCAGGTGGGTTAAGCTGGGAGGGTTTCTAGGTGAGTTAAATGAAAACTCACAACAATTACACAGCCCTGTACTTGTAGGAAAACAACCCCGAGTGATGTCTGTGCTGATATTTATTTTCACGGAAAGACTGGTGGTCACTCTGGAAGGGTCACTTTCATCACAGTTACTTTTAGGAAGCTTAGTGAGACTGGAGGTCTCTGCAGTCTCTCTCTCCTTGGGTTACCTGCCCACTGAAGAGGATCACCCTCCTGGATGCCCGCACATAGCCTCCATCCACCCATCCATCTTCTGCAGCGCAGGAAAGACTGGGCAGGGAAGTGCTGGGTTTCAGGCTGGAAAAGGAAGAGCAGACACCCAAACGTTCCCTGCCCCGCTGTCTGCAGCTTGCTTCATCCTCCCTGATGCACTGTGACTGCTGAGCCTGGGGAGCCCGCAGACCAAGCTCCCCACGCACACCTCCCCCAGGAAGACAGACACATCCCTATCCCAAAGTCATACCGCGTGAGCAAGCCTCACACGTCCAGTAATGTGACTGCAGGACAGAAGTGAGGGCAGTGTCAGCTCTGTCAGTGGAAAAAGACAGGCTGAGAGGAACTCCAGGAGATCCGTATGGGGGAGAGAAAACCTTCCTTCTCCAAATCAACAGCTTTACTGAATGAGTCTTGGCACACAGGTTTATGCACTGGGGAAACTGACCAGCATGCCTGTGTGGCCTCCCATCAAGGGATGACACCCACATGCCACCAGCTTGAAGTGTTTTAAGTCTCTTCCTTGAACTAAAATTCCCACTGCCAACAGCCCAGAGTGGCTGATGTGACGGTGCGGAGTCCAACGTGCCTGAAGCCCCCTGGGAGCTTCATCCTCCTTCTTGGAAACAAGTGACGAGTTCCAGGGCTGGGATGAGGCCAGCAATGAGTGGCCGGGGCTGTTGAGCTTTGCTCTGCTGTAGAATGGAGGTCACCCAGCCTCCAGAGGCCTGGGCTGGCGTTTCCACCCAAGGCACCTCCCCCAAGGCAAGAGTCCACAGGTCAGGGGCTGCGCAAGACCCTTTCGCCGCAGTGGTGCTGGGCTCCTCTGAGCGTGAGGTGAGCTCTGTCCCCACTGCTGCAGGCTGCGGTGCCCTTGCACAGTCCTTCCTTGTCCACATCGCGGGGCCTCCTGAGTTGTGTTTGGTCAGGTCTGGCCTCGGGGTACCCTGCACTGCAACAGGGATGTTCTTCCTGAAGACGTGGGTGGGGAGCATTCACACAGTGCTCTTTGTAAGCTGTGTGGAAAGCAAGTCAAGGCTCAGCCATCTTTGGCAGAGCTGCTGAGAAGGTTCGTGAGGTTCCCACAGCAGCTCGAATGTCTGTCTTATCTCTTGAACACAGCCCAGACAATAAAGAGGCGCCCGAGGCTGCAACGCTTCTCAGGAGAAAGGGGGAGTGGGAATGACAGTAGACACAAGTGACCACAGCACCCCGTCACAGACCTGTGGCCGCGCGGGGCGTCAGCACCTGCCGGCTCCCCCAACCCCACCAGGCTCCTCAGGCCAGTTGTGTCTCTCCTCCCGTGAGATGGGCATTCTGTTTCCCGGGAGTGTTGGGGGAAAGGCTCTCAAACACAACGGGTGTCACCAAAGGTGCCGTGTCAGCTCCCGGTGTCTGGAACTGCATCCTGGCTTTCCGTCTGCCTTCACTGTCAGGCCAGCATCCTCCAGGAGCCCCCAGTTCGCCTTCTGACTGGATGATTTGCCGAGATTCCTGGCACAGGGAACGTGGGCTCCAAGGAGCACACATGGCACACACTCAGGACCGCTCAGGCACTGTGGCATCCAGGGTGCCCTTGGAGGGGCAGCCCCCAGGTGACTTCCTGCAGTGCTCCTGTCCTGTGCTAGCCACACAGTGGCCAGAGGCCCAGGTGGGAGAGTGCACATGGGTCACCCAGACCTGGGGCTGAAGAGCTCCCCTGAGCCGGATGATCACTGAAGCAGGCACCTTCCTGGCTGCTGCAGGCTGCTCTTGAGATGGGGCAATGCAGCGACAGAGGGCTCACCCTAGGTAAGCATTCTGGGACACTGGTACCTGGGGAAAGACTTCCTGCCCTTCTCTCCAGCAATAAAGGGACAGAGCCACAAACAACAGGAATAAGTACAAAGCTACTGTAAAGAAAAACCTGGAGTTTTCATTTTAGATGGTAACTTGCAAACCTACAAGGGGATACAGTAAATTAAAGGTGTTTTTTCCACACTTCTTTTAAGACCTCAGAGGCTCCTTCTCCCCCAGAATAACCTGTTGCCTTACTTCCCCTACAACTAGGATAGGGAAAAGGAGAAAAGAAGGAAGAGAAAAGAAAAAAAGACATAAATTTGGCTATATACTTAAGATAGCTAAGATGATTGTACTGCTAATTCTATTAGTTCTTGGAATAAGACAGCTAGGACTCATAGGATTAGATCAATTTTGCATGTCTATATCTGGTAATCTGAGTAATTCTTTTGAAGATTAATACGCAAAATAACAATCTTTTACTTTGCTATTTTCAGAGGAATGATATGATATGTAAGCTCATGTGTCTGACCGATTTCTCTTAGCATTATGGTCTCAAGTAGACCCATTTTCCTACAAACAACTCAAATCTGTCCTTCTTGGCAGAGTGGTCCCCATGGGTGCAATGTGCACATTTGCTCTGTCTGCTCATCTGCTGGTGTCACAGGGACCACCTCCAAGATCCAGCTGCTGGCACGTGGGCATGGACGCCTCTCTGCAGTATGACACTTGACTCCTTCAGAAGACAGCAGAACGGGCGCCGGTCCATGGGGTCTCTAGTCTTATCTTTCTGAGGAGTCATCACACTGATTTCCACAGCAGATGAGGGTGCCAGGAGAGGGATGAGACATGCAGAAAGGAAGTGAGATGTGTACCCCTTCCCATGAGGAATAGGAGCATCGCATACCGCACACATGTAATACATTAAAATAATTTTAAAAAGACTTCCAGAGATCGACCCCATACCGTGCCTGACAATCCACATGGAGTAAGTTTCATTTATAAATTCTGAGTCCTGCCTTTCATAATATATCACAAAATAACCTTTTCGGTCAAACTGATGTGCCTAACTTTAATCTCACCACATTTTGGGAATAAATCCTCCCTGAGAAGTGTGTATTATAACTGAAGGTAGTGGAAGAAAGCCACCCAAAGACCCTTGGCTCTATCAGAGTCAGGAGTGACACCTGCATGCATGCATGTGGGCCCACTGCCACTTGGGTGCTCAGTGTCCTCTACAGTGCCCTCCTGGGCAGGGAAAAGACAACACACAGCCGGGCTGGGGCCACAAGCCGTGCAGGCCGAGCAGGAGGGCACATGCGCAGCAGCAATACCCCACCCCACCCTACCCCAGCACTGCACGCGGTCCTGTACGCAGCTTCTCAGTAGAAGGAGAGAGCACCGGCCGGCTGCTTGCTGTGTGGAAAAGGCCTGGTCCAGGATGGAGGGCCCCATGTATTCCAGGGTGCCGAAGAGCCAGCGTCCATGCTACACACAATGTCTGGGTGCTGCCAAGGTCACTCGCAGAAAGGGTAATCAATGACAAGTTAGAAACAGGATGTTAGCTGGGATCGGACCGTTTGCCCAGCTATCCTGCTTCTGAATTAAAAACACCACCGTGATACATGCCCACCTATGCTTACAGCAGCACAGTTTGTAACAGCCAGAGCTTGGAAACATTCCAAGTGCCCATCAGTCGAGGAATGGATACAAAAGATGTGGTCTTTTTATACAGCAGAGTACTACTCAGCTATATAGAAGGGTAAACTTGAGGCTTTTGTAGGTAGAAGAGATCATATTTGTAGGTGAAATAAATCAGACTCACATGTGTAAATACTGTATTGTCTCCCCTAGTGTGAGAAACTGAAAGAGCAAATAAGATCCAAAATCTTCAATAAATATTGTGAAAGGGCAAGAAACTGCTCAAAGGGGAAAAACAACTAGGATAGGGAAAAGGAGAAAAGAAAGAAGGGAAAAGAAAAAAAGACATAAATTTGGGTATATACTTAAGATAGGTAAGATGACTGTACTGCTAATTCTATTAGTTCTTGGAATAAGATAGCTATGGGGCTGGAGGTTTAGCTCAGTGGCATAAGCGCCTGCCTTGCAAGCAGGCAGTTGTGAGTTGGTATCCCCAGTATCGATTAAAAGGAAAAAGACAAAAAAAAAAAAAAAAAAAAAAAAAAAACCCCCGAGTAAGATAGCTAGGACTCGTAGGATTAGATCAATTTTGCATGTCTATATCTGGTAATCTGAATAATTCTTTTGAAGATAAATATGCAAAATAACAACCTTTGTTAAGTTACTATCACCTTGTTTTGAAAGTCTATGTTATTATGGTTTTGGGCTTTTGGTTGTTATTCGTTTCTTGCATTTTTTTCCCCCTTTTTCCAATAAAAAAATAAGGAACAAGACATCACCATTAGTGGGGACAGGAAAGAAACAGGTGCTGGGCACACAAGCCCAGTGGGAGACACAGGGAATTCTGCAGGGCTGTGCAGGGAGACGGTCACCTTCCATCCCCAGGTCTGGGGACAGTGGTGGCTGGCAGGACACCAGAGGACTCAGGCAGGCGGCCGAGGCAGGCAGGGCAGGGTGACCCTGGCCAGGCTCCCAGGTGCCGTGGCCGGAGCACCACTACCTCAGACCTGGACCACTGGGCCTGGACCCGTTGGCCTCTGCATGGCGGCCCAGGCTCAGCCGCTGCTGGTGGCCACACAGCTGTGTCACTGCCTGTGCTCGTGCTCGGAAAGCAGAACAGGCCCGTTTGAAGGCTGGCGGGTGAAGATTATGTGCCTGGCGCCTAGAAACAGTACTCAGGCTCCTGGTCCCTGGCTGGAGCTAAAAGCAAAGGTTCTGTTTTTAAGTCAGTTTCCAGGCAAAAAAGAAATTGCTCTGTGCCAGACGGTGAACAGCTACTTTCAACTGGCGCCCTCAGAGATGCGATCTGGATGACCACGGAGCAGGTAAGAGCTGTGCAGAGACACCTGGAGTCCTCAAGACTCGGATATGTGCTGTCCCCTCATCTGCCCAAGGGTAGTGTCCACTAAGGGCTGCATGACGCCAGGGGGCTGGAGCAAGAGAAAAGGAGGACGGCGCAGGGCCAGGAGACTGAGCAGGAAGCACAGGAGGGTATGAGCAGTGTGGCAGGGGGAGGAGAGGGGAGGGGAGACGGGGTCAAAAAGGCCCAGGCACTGGTTTTTGCCCAAGGCACTGAAACTGGAGCTTCATTTTTAGGGCTGAACTGTGTCCCTTCAAAGCCCCAGGACCTCAGCGTGCCACCACGGTGGGAGACTACCCTTTGCGTGGTGATTCAGGTACAGTGTGGTCCCGCAGCAGCTCCAGTGCGATCTGACTGGTGTCTACAGGAGGGGACATGGGCACATGAGCAAGGAGAGAGACCACAAAAGCACACCCAGGAAAGTGAGGCCACCCTGACCACAGGGCAGCCTGTGCTGCCTGTGGGGTGAGACAGCGCCACCTGCTGTCCAGGCTGTCCAGGCTGCGTGGCCCGGGCATTGGACAAACACTCTGGGCAGGCGCAGGTCTTGGTTCCCCATGTGCGACTCCCAGCCCTGCAGCATCAGATTGCCCAGTATGAAGCCTGCCTGCCCCCCTCCCAGAGCATGGCTCAGTGGTCAGCGGCTCCCTTCCCACCAGGCATCTCTCAGCTCATGTGTCCTGCATGCACGCCCCACCTGTCTAGTGGTCCCCCACACAGGTGGCCAGGCTGCTGCTGGAGGGAGGGGTGGGCTCTAGGACATGGGAATGGGACATGAGACACAGGACCTGACACAGGGATGGGCACCGGACATTGGCACTGCTGTCTCCACTGGACACCCATGCTCCGAGGCACCCCGCCTCACCTTTTGGCCTCCTCACCTGGCCAGCCTGCAGCCTGAGGTCACCCTTCTTTTCTTACCTAGGACCCACTTTTCGGACAGGCACTGCACGCCTGGCCTGCTCTGTCTGAGGCAGGGCCCGATGAGGAGGCTGGCATGGCGCGGCCCCTGGCTGACTCGGCCCCCACAGAGCAGCACCAGCTCACACAGCTTGGCCTTGGGGGGACTGCTGGCTGGCGAGATGAACATCGGGGGCTGGTTGGCAAAGAGTGCTCCGCGGTACTGTCCGAGGGACAGGTGGCGCTGGTGCCGGTAGATCTGTAGGGGGGAGAAGAGAGAGTCAGAAGGGCAGGGATGGCCCACTCGAGGGGGGACAGTGGACAGTCTCCCCGGGGAGATCGAGTGAACTCTGCATACCCAGACACTTAGGATAGAAAACGGAAGTCCTCCGAAGTGGCTGGGAAAACCAGTTTCCAGGCAGCATAAGTATTGGGCTTTAAATCACTACAAATAGTAAAGCAAAGCATGGAGGAATGGGATGTACACTACTGACCCTTGCTGAGAATCGTGAGGCCGCCCATGCACAGGAGGCCACAGCAGGTGGGAGAGTGCTGGGTGAACCCAAGGATGCCTCTGGGCCTCCCGTGGCATCTCCGGACAGGCGGAAGCTGCAGGTGTGCAGATTCTAGGGTGAACTTGCCAGGGATATTTCTGCCTCCTCAGGTCCCTTAAGTGCCAGCAGTTCTCAGCAGTCTGCTCTGAATGCCGATTTTGTCAAAACTCCCCCTCCCCAGAAAGGGAGTCCAGTGGCCAGGCCTGTGGGCATTACAGATGGCAGGAGGTGGAAGTCTGGCGGGCTACTGTGGGCTCAGGTCTGTGGTCCCCTCGAGGAGGCCTCAAAGTGACCAGCTTGTCTGCACTGGCCCAAGAGTTTTAGCTACAAATGGATAAAAACTGAACAGACGCAGTGAAAAGCACAACCCCCAGACAGATACAGTGTGCACTCGTGTCAGTCGCAAGGGTGCTCAAGAGCGGAAGGCCAAGGCTAATTAAGGAAGTGGCTTTTCCATGGGGAGGGCAGGTCCCAGCCATGGGCAGCATCCCCATGTGCCCTCAGAGCGGCCCTTTGCATGGCCAGTGGCTCCTCACAGCTCACAGAGCCACAGAATGGCTCGACGGCAACGAAGCCAGAGTCAGGTAACCAGGAAGTCTGCATGCTGTCTAGGAAAGCGAACTTTTCCAGCATGCACAGATGTTCCTACACAACCCAGATGCCATTCTAAAAGGAGTCTTAGAAGAGTAGAATCTGCTGGGGGCTCTGGGCTCAAGTCAGCTTCAAGATAAACAGGACAGGTGAGTGGTCAGGAGAGTCCTGCCTTCTCAATTCCCTGCCATACAGGAGGCAGCAGTGCAGAAGTGGAAAGCTTTGTCTCCAAGAACTTATTCTAGCTGTTGCTGGCGGAGAATGAGGACCGATGTGGAAAAGATGCAAGAGATGGCAGCTTGCTTTAAAAAAGCTGTCTGTGTTTGTGCCTTAGCTACAGGGTACGCACTGACCCTGCACACCTGTGCACCTGGAAGTTGGTCAGGGAAGACTGTCCTGGTGACAAAGCTATGCAGAACAGAATTCCCCAGGCTCCCAGCTCCAAGGAATCCCACCTGTTTACCCAAGGCCAAGAAATGAAAACCCGAGGGTTGATGGTTTACTGAGCCTGGCTGGAGACACTGAGTTTCAGTCAGTGAGAGGGCTCCCGCCCTGGGGAGCTGGCTTGTGGCATCTCCTGCTCACTGAGCTTCCCCAGGCACCGTGAGCCACGTGTGGAGGAGACACCCTTCTGGGAGGGTACTAGCCCTCTCATCTAGAATGGGCTACAGCAGGAATCATGGGGGCTGTTCCTGTCCACGGCACTGATCATGAGATCCGGAGATGCAAGGGCTGCAGGGAGTGAAGCCAGGGACCCAGAGCCTCTGTGGGGTGCCTCCTCCAGGCTCCCGAAGCCCTGGGCCATGCAGGGTCAGCAGGGATCACAGGGAGAAGCCTCTACCACCTCCTTGCCTGAGTGTGCACCCTATAGCACTGAGGCTGCACCCAAGAGGACCGGACAGTACCTGATATCCTCAGAGTGTAAGCTATCTGCAGGCGCCCACACCCCCGACGCTGACCCCACCCTAGCATCTGTCCCCCTCGGCCTCTGTGACATCTGCTCCTGCTTTTCCTCCATGGTCCCTCTCAGCATGCCTGCCGGGCCTCTCTTTCCCATGCACCCTTCCCCCTCTGTGGATGCAGTCTGAGTCCCGGCAGCACGGTTGGTTCACTGAATCCTTAACACAGCCGAGTGCAGAGGACAGTGTTGGTAAACCCATAGGGGGTCCTGCAGCAGGCAGTGTGGGAGCCCCGAATCTAACCAGCAAGCCACACCGCATGCTCAGCATCTCAACGTGTGAAGCTAGATAGCACCACTAGCTTCCCAGGCTGGTCTGGACACCTTCCTTTCCTCCACCTCTCCGCGTAACTCCCCAGCAAGCCTTGTGGGCTTTCCTCCTGAATGTCACCTGAAACCCACCCATCGGTCTTCCTCTCCTCCACCACCAACCCAGTCACGCCCCAGAAATGCTAAACATGGAAACAGCTTCCAGAAGGGCCTGGCAGTCGTTTTCACACTCCCGCATTTTCCTTTTCTAAATGATGTGCCAATCTCCGGTGTCCATGCTTGGGACCCAGCAGGCAGGCCACAGGGGCCAGGACTGCGGCACAAGCCATCCCTCCCGGAAAGTCTCTCTCCTTATGGTTTAGATCTAAAATGCCCCAAGTCTCATAGGGTCAGCTGTAGGCACTGAACACTGGTGAGTTCATGGCTGCTGTGCTGTCGGGATGCAGCCTGGCTTCCCCATCCTCTCGCTCCTTCCTGGCCGCCGGGAGGTGAGCAGCTTTCTTCCCCAAGGCCCTTCCACTATGCCACATTGTGTGAAACCAGCTGACCACAGACAGAACCTCTGATACCACGAGCCAAGTGCACCTCTCCTCTTGTGAGCCGTGTGTCAGGTATTTTGTCCCAGTAACAGCAAAGTGATCAACACTGACCCTACAGATTCTCTGGACACACTGACACTACAGTCTGCTTCCAGCACAATGTCTGCCCATAAATAACCTCACAAACCTCCAAGTTAAACTTCCCTGTTGGTCTGCACGACCCTTGAGCACCATCCAGCCCCTCCTCTCACCCGTAGCCACATCTGGGGTCCCCTCCCTGTCCTGGCCCCTTGAGCCCACAGCCTCTGCGGCTCTCGCTGCTCCTTGTGCCTTGACCCGAGCTGACCTATTCTTAGGCTGAATCCACGGGGTCTGGATTCTGGCTCAGCTGTCGCAACCCTGCAGGGGTTGCCCTTCTGACCAGCTAGCTAACCCTGATCTGCACTTCACTCTGTTTCAGACACACTTAGCTCCTCCCAGGAACCCGGCTGCTTGAGAGGCCCTACAGATACTTACTCCAGCTCATGGCAGTCCTCAGGCAGGCACTGAGGACAGTAGACCCTGCCCTCATTTTAGAATGTGCCCTTTGGCCTGAGGATCAGCTGGAGCTGATGGCATGGGAAAAAGAATGGATGCAGAATCTGCTTTCTCTCTGAAAATGGAGAGGAGACGCCTGTGTGCAAGGCACAGCCCTCCCTGGGACAGGAGAAAGGAGGGCTTGAGGGAGAGGTGGCAGCCCAGGAAGTTCGCTGCACCCAGACCTTTTGGAAGCAATTCTTGCTCCCGTTCAGCACCTGGTACCACCCTACTGTCCACCCTAGGATAAAAGCTGTGTTTTGCTCCTTCCTCACCTCCTTGTGAGAGCTCCACGTCTTGTAAAACACCTGCATGCTTTTCTCCTATTTCCCTCTTACACCAGAGTTCACCTGGCTCCTGCTAACACAGCACAGGCTGCTCGCCTGCTCTGTGGCTCTGCTACCATGCCCTTCTCCCCAGAGAAAGAGAAGACACACAGAGAAGGGCCTTGCCGCCAGCCGCACAGCTAAAAGGAGAGGACCAGGCCAGGGTGGAGGACAAACGTGAGTCTTCTGCCCACCATGTGCCCACAGTGTATGTCTTGTTCCCAGGAAGGGTGGACACAGGGTTGCTCAGAGCAGCCACCTGGGATGGAGGAATGAGTGTGAGTCATGTGTGTGTGCACATGTGTTTGTGTTACCTGAAGCTGTATCTACAAAACCAGCCCAAAGGTGACAACATCGTTACTGATTCACTTCAGTGTATATCCACATCTCCGCATCCTACGACTTGGCCGGAATGTGTGACTGACTGCGGCTTCAACACACATCTCAGAATGGCCCACATCAGTTTTCACCCACTGTCTCAGTCACTTTTAGAAGTCTCAGAAGCAATCACAGGACAGTCCCCTTTGCCAAATTCTGCAACTACACCCATGTCACCTCCTTGTCCCTAGATGATGAAGTCCCTCAAGGCCAAATGACAGGATGAGGGTAGGCCTGGGCTCCAGGTTTGAAATTCCAGCTCTGCTACTCCCTGTGTAGCCATGGTGATACCCTTGACTGCCTTGGTATTCAGCTTCTATCCAGGTCATCACATATCTCCTCAGTAACAGACCGGAAGGAGGTGGAGAACAGGGAGCTCAGAGTCTGCTCTGAGGAAGCACTAGCTATAGGCGAGAGGGTCCATTCATGCGACTTCTCCTTTTCTCTCCCTGTGCTGCACTCCATTATCTACGGTACCAGAGAGCTTGGCTCCTGGATTGTGGCTGAGTGACTCAATAGCCAGCGGTCCCACTCCTAGAGCTTAGGACAACAGTTAGTATTACTTATGTAATATTTTCCTTCTTTGCTAAACTATTCTAGGTACTTTTCATGACACAGCCAATTGCTATAAAAGCCCTGCAAGGGAGAGACCAGCACTATTCTACAAGTCACAGCAATGAAGCTGAGGTCTAGGATAATTTGACAAAGCATCAAGTTGGAAGAGGGGGACAGTTGTCTGACCAGATACCCAGAGCTGAGGTCCCCAATGCAGCGACACACAGCACACTGCCTTCCACAGGGGCTGAGTGCAGCAAGGATGACCGAGCCCTGGGCCTGAGGCTCTGAGCGTCAGTGTCAGCCACTCGGGCTCACTCTCTAAGGGCAGTCAAGTCCAAGTCATAGCCATAGAAAAAAGTCTTTCTCCTTCAGACAGGGCTGAACTGGGGGTCCCACTTCAAGTCTGACTCTTTGCTTATGTGAATATATAGATACTGTATACCAGATCCCGGCTTCCCCAGCCCCCAGCTGTGGCCAGGTCTGGGCTTCCTCGGAGACAAAGGCGGACAGTGTCCAGGCTGTCATAGAGCTTGTCCCCATGAGCTCTTCTGGCTGCCATGTGCCCAGTGGTGCCAAATTCATGGTCATGCTTAGAAAACCACAAGTCACTCTGTGGCAGGACTGTGCTAGGGCTGGGACCTGGCTGGGGAGGAGGCAAGGACTGGCTGACAACTGAGTGAAAGCCTGCTCTCAATGTAGTGCCGCTGAGTCAGGAGTGCCAGCATCTGAAGGCACCAGTGCACATCTCTGGAGGACTTGTAAACAAAGCCCTGAGCGATGAGCCCACAGAAAGCAGATTCCAGCACTGGACGGTGCCCAAGCCCAGCGACAGCTTCTTCCTCCTGTCTGCACTCTGAGGATAGCCGGGGAGGCCGTCTGCTTCTCAATAGCGATGCGAGTCCTGCACATCTGTATCTGCTTACGGGAAGGAGGCTGTGAGCACGGAGCAGGCGGGCGGCGGAGATGAGAGCGCGTCGGAGCACGGAGGCACTGGTGGCCAGCGGGAATGGGCGCATGATTTAGAGCATCCATGTGTGCTTGGCAGAAGAGACCCTGGGCAAAAGTCTGTGTTGTCAAGCAAGAGAGCACGGTTTGGTTTTTATACTGCAGTATTTTAGAGAAAAAAAAAAAATGGAGAGAAATTCTAGAGAACTTATCCAGAAAAAAGAGCAAAGGAGAGGGGAGGGCAGAGAAGGCTGGGCAACTGGCGCCTGTGCAGGAACCTGGGGGCAGGAGTGGTCTTTTACTTGGAACTCTCAGAGAAACCGGGTCTGTAATGACGCTGCAAGTGACAGAGCAAAGCAGTGACAGCCCTCCAGGAGCCATCTGCAAACGATGCGTCCATCTCCAAGGTGGACATTGGTGAGGCACAGGTGGAGGCACTGTGTCTCACCTCTGAATGCAATGCAGACAACCATCAGCAGGACCTCTGTGTGCCAAACTTGGACTTTTAGTGTTGCTTGGGTTTTAAAGGCCACATAAGTGATGGGAACACAATCGTCTAGGGAATCCACAAATAGCTTTTAGCACAGCCATAAATCTGGATTTCATGCCTCATAGTTTTCAACAACTCTGAGAAGCACGTCAGGACCCGAGCCTGCGCTCTTCCCGGCACGGCCGGAGGCTGGCTGCCTGTCTACCCGCACCCAGCCACAGCAGGGGGACTGCCTTGCATGCTTTTTTGGAAATCAAGATGAAGGGCCTGTGGAAATCACTCCTTGGTCTCATTAAACGTTTTATTTGATCCTTATTTGATAGTATCAAGTTTGAGAGTATAGGCAACTACGTTAAAGGCAATAAGATTCACTATGATGCCCATTCTGGTTTGACTTATTATCTTCTTTTGAAGTCCTGTAAGGTCTCCAATGTTTAGGTTTTATTGGTTTTGTTCTATATTGTTTTGTTCAATTTTATTATACCTGATGATATAGGCAACTCGTTTTAAGATAGTAAGAGGCTTTATGGTAACCACTGTTGATCACCTGGCATTCTGTTTTTACATCATGTACTATGTCCATCCTTTTGTTTTGACTGACTCTGTTTTGTTTTGTCACATTTGGTTTTATTCTCTTCAAAAAAAAAAGTAGTAAGAACTATGGGAGTAATAAAACCCAAAATGTGTAATTGTTATTGTAAAAAAGAGAGGAAAAGAAAGTGCTCTAAAGGATATAACTGCATGTATATTTAAGTGTGTAAGATAGAAAACCGTATTACTAAATTTTGTTGGATCATTGAACAGAATTGTTTGCAATCTCACTGTGTGAATGTCCACTTTGTATGCTTTAAAATTTTGTAATTTGAACAACTATTTCTAAGATGACAATATGTAATCTATTAACTAGTGGTTTCTTACTGTTTATTTTTTTGAAATTCTGTATTACTTGTACCCTTTTACTGTTTTGTTTTTTCTCTTTAAATAAAAAAATTTTAAAAATGAACTGGTAGATGGCAAGGAATATGCAGGCCTTATATAAAAATACAAGAACAGATTCATAGTGTCATGGAAAACTGGGCATGTTAAGCAAAAGTTTGAAAAGTTCTGCACCCCAACAATCCTGCTCTGTACAGAACTAAAGCCCATTCTGGGCATGTTAGTAACTCGAGAAGTTGTCAAGAGTACAGTCGGGTCTCTCTGGGAAACCAGGTAAGCCAGAGCCCCTGGGTGGGGTCAGGCTGGCACTGGTTACTCCTGAAGCTCCCCAGGTGAGTGTCACGGGATGCTCAGGCTGAGAAAGGGAAACTGGGTCATCAAACGACTGCTATTGCAGTGGCCCTGAAGTTTCAAGTAACACCAGGAAATGTGAGGATGATCTGGTTGCGACATCTGTCACCCATGGTGGCCAGGGCAGGTCACTCCTTCCTCTCTCACCACTTCACGTCCCTCCCAAAACTGCACACACAGTCAAAGAGGACGCCCACCCTGACAGAGGACATTGCTTGGTCAAGGGTACACAGGTAGCTATGCTCCCTGCCAGAGCCACCAAATGAGCTCTCAAACACTACCAGGAGCCTGGGCCCCAGCATCAGATGCACTGTTCTAATTAAAGGAGGTGTGGTCATTGTGGCCACTTGTCCCCAAGGGGCTCTAATGGGAGGAAGGGCAGAACTAGGGTCACAGAGGCTCCAAAGGCTGGGCCACTCCACTCATAGGCCCATTAACAGTTCAAACAGCTATGAGCTTCTGTAAGAAAGGAGGAATTCTGTAACATAATGGAGGAATTAGCACCTGTACCCACGACTAAAGGGGAATAAAACAGGGTCTCTACCTTTCAAAGTCTCAAAGATGAAAACAAACACGCAGCCCTAAGGCAATCTAGCCGCCCCACAGAGGATGAGCTTCCTTTCCCTTGAATACAGTGCCACCCTTCCCGTTGCAGGGCTCCTTTGGGGTTACCCGTGGGCTGCACCTGCTCCTCCTTCCTGGCTCTTCTGCAGGTTCCTCCAACTCCTGGAACTGCCCTGCTGCTGTCAGCAGGTGAGACTTGGCAGGTGGGGCCTTTCAGATGAGATCTTGTTATGGTGCATATCTAAACTGTCCCCCACAAGTCTCGTGTGCTGAGAGGCAGAGCTTTTGGAAGGTGACCAGATCGCAGAGGCACAAGACTCATCAGTAGCTTAATCCATCAGCAAGTTCATAGGTGAATGTGCTGTTTTGGGGCAATGGCCTGGTTGGAAAAGGTGGGTTCCTGGGGCTGTGCCTTTGGATGGAGAGGGTTCATCTCCATCCCTGGCACTTCTCTTCCCTCTGCTTCCTGGCTGCCATGAAGGGAGAAGCTTTCCTCTGCCATGCCTTTCCACTATGATGCTTCTCCCTTTGACCATGGACTGAATCCCTGAATCATAAGCCAAATTAAATCTCTTGCAGTTTAAGTTGTGGTGCTGGGTATTTTGTTTCACCACTGATAGCACCTAATACAGTTTTTATGTCACACTGAGTGTCAAGCCTCAGGCAAGGGTCTGGGCAGGCCCTGAATTGCTCCTACACCCTGGCATGGAGGCCAAGCTCTGCCTTTCTTTCCTGGCTTGCCTTCCACTTCTTCAGATACTGGAGCCCCGCTTTGAGGGGAACACTGCCCTAGATATGGCCACGCCTCATCCTGCCAGCCTCTTGGCTTCCTGGGGTTACACATCATTTCTTTGTTGGACCACCACACTTTGTGGGCTGTGCTGTCCCATCTCTGCCACACAGTGCTGCTCCCTGTAGAGGAAGGAGGCAGGAAGAGAGGTGCTTCCTCCGGTCCTTCACAATCACTGCTTCAGGCTGCAAGACCTAGGGAAGGCCCCTCTAGGGCAGGGCTCTCATTTTAATGGAAAGTGACCACACATCTCTCAAAGGTCAGGCTGTTTATTTTATTATTTATTTAATTTTTGGAGCTGACGATGGACCCTGTACCTAGAACATGCTAGGCAAGTGCTTTATCAATGAGCTACACCACCAGTCCTAGGTCAGATTTGTTTTTTAAAATGAAGCTTTTATCCAAAGTCATTTTTTTGGCTTAAGGGTTATAAAATGCATCAGAGATTGTTAAACAAAGTTTCAAGTTTAAATTGTGATGAATATTCAATTTCTCAGAAGTTTGTTTTTCCCTTTCTTTTGAAATTCTCTAGACGTTTTAGATATTTATTCTGTGTACAAATAAGTGGAAACAACTTTGTCACTTCAAGCCTTCAGGCAGTTTGTTTGTGCCCATGTTTATAATCATGCTGATTCTTTTTTTTTTTTTTTTTTTTTGGTCTTTTTCCTTTTTATCAGTACTGGGGATCGAACTCATGACTGCCTGCTTGCAAGACAGGCACTTATGCCACTGAGCTAAATCTCCAGCCCCAATTATGCCAATTCTTTGAAGCACTCCCTAGGGTCCTGTAACCCTCTGGGATTTGCAGTTTGTTGGTTGGCCACAGGAGCCACGGAAATAAGTGAAAAACCTGCTTACAAACTATATTAGTAAAATGAAACCTACTGGTCTGAATTCATTTTAAAAACCTATTTAGTATTTTAAAGTTTACAGAATTTCTGAAACACTATAAAGCCAGAGAGTGGGATCAACCCTGGCTTCCTGGCATGGAGGTGCAGGCTGAGAGTGGTCTCAGCTCCTGGCACCCCAGCACCTGTGGGTGTGCCTGAGCCTCTGACTTCTCAGCCTCTGCTCTGTCCAAAGCACCTTGGGTCCTGCCTGAGTTTTGTAACTTTAGGACTCCTGCTGTTCTTCCTTTCCATGGTGACCCACTGCTGAGTCTCTGGTCAGAAGTGCAACTGACTGCCGTCCTCATAGTGGGGGAGGAGGATGAGCTGGGCATGGGGAGCTGTGGGGAGGGCTCTGTGTAGCCAGTAGGAAGCCAGGTCTTCAGTCCGGGGCAGGAGGACTGGGGAGGGAGAAGAGTGCCTGGAAACAAGGTCCTAGCCAGCTGTTGGCACTGGGAAAGGGACATTGCAGACACAAGACCACTCTGGACTTAGGCCTGGTTCTTTGCTCAACAGACAGGTGACCTCAGGGTGACAAGGTGTGGCTGACCCATTGTGCAGTGACACACTCCATTCCTCAGTTCTTTACCTGTAAGGTGAGCAGGCTGCAAAGGAAAACTTAGTTTTCTTCCTTTAAATATTTGTGATTCTATGATTCCTTCCATCCTTGTCTTTATTCCTTTGTATTTAGCAAATGGATTTCCCCTAGCCAATTCCATCACACTTCCCAGGATAATCCTAAGAAATTGTCCGCGTGGCCAGAGTTTGCCAGAGAATCAGATGCTGCCGCCTATCATTTTCCCTTCTGCTTCAGCCCCAGAGAGGGCAGGCTGCTCCGGGTCTGGCTGAACTGTCCAGCACTGGCCTTTCCTTCACGGCAACAGGGTGCATGCTAACTGGGACTGGGGTTCAGTGGGGGGACTAGGAGGGAGGAATGTGATCTGGAAAGTCACTTCACTGTGTTGAGCCCAATGGGACAGGACAGGACAGGGCAGGGCAGTGGGGTGCCAGCCCTCAGAGCCCTTTCATGAATACTACACATTAAGAGGACAGTGCAAATAAGTACTGGGGGCCCCAAGACTTCTCAGAAATGCGTGCACAATGGGGCAGCCTGGCAGTTCAGTGACCACTTAGGGATGGTTTGTGCTTTTAAAAACATTAGTATGAATTCATTCTTGGGAAAACTAGGAGAGCCTGGGGCACATGAGCTGTGCACACTCATGTACACAAAGGTACATGTCTATACACACACATGGACACAGCATTATGTACGTGCATATGTGCACACCTATGAACACAATCCATATAGACCCCAGACACAGACTGTACACACACAAGTGTGTGTACACACATGAATACATTTTAATTTTATTCTATTTCAAGACCATCGCTATTCAGATCAGGCCTTATTTAGTTTATTGCATCTCTTAAAATAATCCAAAAGGAACAACATCTGAAAACACAAAAGAAGTCCACTGGAGAGCAGCAAGAGGTCACAGCCAGGAGCAGAGCTCAGAAGAGTAAACTGCCAGCTGGGCCAAGAGTGACTCAGAGGGAAGGAGATAAGATCTGTCTACACATACCTAGAGGTGGTAAACAACAAGGAAAGCGACAAGCTAAAGAGGCCACAACAAAGCCTGACCAGGAATTCTGTGCACAGCGGAGAGGAAGTGGCCGCTGCAGGCAGGAGTGGTGCCCACCTTGCCAGGCCCACAACACCCCTCTCCCAGCCATTTCTCAGTTCCCCACCGACTTCTGAGAGCCAGATTACCCCTCCCATCCCCCAGGCCATCGCTGCTGTGTAGGAGCTATGTGGACACTGCTGCTGGGTACCGGTTACAACTCACAGCCGCCACCCTCTTGCTGTGGAGACCCTCACCACGCACGGAGGGCAGGCTTCTCATGCTCCTTGCCCACTACTCTATCCCCAGCTCTTGCTCTCGAGGTCTGCAGGCCCTATGACCTGGCCTCTGGCACCCTCTTCCAACCTGAGCACCCACAGACCCTCCTGCTTGGCCCTGGTCACCCTGAGTCTCTGTGCAGCACACCAGCCTTGGCTACTTCCTCCAGCAGGTCTAGGAGAATCCTCAATGCACCATGCAGGGCCCAGGGAAAGGACAACCAGAAAGGTACCTGCTCTCAGGCGCTCACCCAGCAGAAGAGCACTGGAGCCAGGGACATTGATCATCTTCGCTCCCCCCAGGATCTACAGGAATGATGCTAAGCCATAAACAGGCCCAATGAGTTTTTCCTGGAAATGTGGGAAAGGCTTCCCAGAAGAGCTGGTGCTTTTCCTAATTAGGGAAAGGATATATCATGTGAGTCATGTGTTCTATGTGTGGTGTGTGTGTTGCAATTTGTCATTGTGGGTTTGTGTGTGAAATGTATGTGTCTGTGTGATGAGCATGTGTGCTGGCTATG